CAGTTTCCTGTACACCAACAATCTACCACATCTAAAACAATCTGGGTTCCGAAAAAAATACAGCACCACATCTGCTGCATTAGACTCTCTGAATCAAATTTACAGTAGCCTTGATAATAAGAAGTACTCTGCCTGTCTTTTTCTAGACCTGTCCAAAGCTTTTGATACAGTAGACCACAACACCCTGCTTAGTAAACTAAGTTGCCTCGGTTTTTCCGAAAACAGTACAATGGTTACAAAATTACCTCTTTTCTCGCATCCAAACTGTATTCACAGATGGTTGGAGGTCAAACAGTGTTAAGATAACAAAAGGGGTTCCACAGGGTTCCATCCTCAGCCCCCTCTTGTTCTCTCTTTATGTCAATGACTTTGGCACTGACCTGGATCATTCCAGGGTAAATCTTTTTGCAGATGACACGCTACTGATTACTGCTGGCCGCTCTCCGGATGACGTGATTGCTAAGCTCCAGGGTGATTTCAACAAACTACAACATCAGCTAGTTGCTCTTAAACTAGTCCTGAATACCTCCAAAACCAAGGTGCTATGCTTCTCACTGGGACTAAAGCAGGAAGTTATTTTTCCCCAATTACATTTCTTAAATAATTATCAAATAGAGCAAGTCAAGATCTATAAGTATCTTGGGGTCATCCTGGATTCAAAACTGAATTTTGAAGATCACATTGATTATATTGGTAAAAAGACAAAAATAAAAATTGGTTTTCTGTATCGACACAAGCACTGCTTCCCCCCAATGTTCCGTTTAGAATTGATAAAAGCTACCATACTGCCTCTACTTGACTACTGTGACATCGTGTATGAATCAGCCCCAAGTACTGTACTGAAGAAGCTTGATTCCATCTATCACTCGGCCTTAAGATTTGCATTGAACTGCCCATATAGGACTCACCACTGTGATCTCTACATTGGGTCAAACTTAACATCTCTTAATGTTCGATGGCTTGTGCACCAGATCTTATTTATTCACGATGTACTTACAATAAAATCCGCAGACTACCTACTGGATCTCCTCTCTGTTTCAAACAACAAATTTGACCTCAGGCCGTCGCTCATTTACCAGCTTCACATTCCCTATTGCCGTACAAAAACCAGAGGAAGGGCCTTTGCTATTGATGCCCCCAGGGTCTGGAATGCTATTGCCAATAAACTGCAACTTGAATCACTACCTATGAGATCTTCACTCAAAACTGCTCTTGAAGAGTTGTACACCCCTAGCTGCCACTGCTATTCGGTGGCCTAAAATATGTCTCTAGCGTTTGGTGTTACATGTTATTTATGTAGTTTATTGTAAAAAATTCGGTCACAGTCCCTATGATCACTGTTACATTGCATTTATGGATTTTATTTTAGTGATTTCGAAAGCTTTTTTTGGTTTGGCCATGTTTTTGTTTATTGTAGTACGGAGTTAGACTGATGGCCTTAATCTTAGTTGTCTTGTGGTTGTTGTTGTTGTTTGACTTGCATCCCACCAGAATTTTTGCACACAGCGTTGGTGTACGGTGCTATTTCAGGAATATTCTGATGTTTTTTTCCCGGATTTTCTGTTTGCAGTCACATAGTCACTTTAAGATGTTTTCTCGTTCATGTTTTTGTTTTTTGTTTGTTGCGGTTGCACCCGATTCAAGAGCCGAATGGCTCACAGGGCTATACCAAATAAATGGAACTATGGAACTATGGTGATCAAAAATAAGTTTCCTACTTTAAAAAAATGTTTGCTCAATATTTGTAAGTGCAAAATCAGAATCAAACACAATGTGCTTTTTAAGAGCATAGATCGACGTATGAAAATAACCCGAGTATCACCGGTATCGCTTCACTATCACGCATGCACATATAGTGGCATTTGTTTGCGGTCTCTCAAAACAAGGAACTGCAAGTGGCTTTGTCTACTTCTCTCATGTATAGTGTTTGAAAGATTAAAAAAAAATCCACAAGTTATTCAATCACAGCTTTAAAACGTGCATGCAGTGACTTTAAGCTGAATGTGCTATGCTTTAATGTTTTTTGTAATTTCTAAACATGAATAATTGTAGAACAGATACAAATTCCACATTTTTTTTAAATTAGGTAAGCGATAAAGAGTTATTTTTTCTAGGCAGAAACAAAGTATAGGGCTCCAGCATCATCGTCATTATTACCGTGATGCTTATTTGCCCAGGTATGCCTCAGTGATGTCTAATCGCTCTTTTTCCGGAGACTCCTGCTCAGATTTTTGCAGTAGGGGGCAATGCTTGCTATGTACACTCCGACTGAGTAACGACATGCAATAGCTCGCATCAAGCGCAAGGTTAAACGAAGTGGTCGGGACATTTGGGATTTCACTTTGAGGATCACTGTGACAAGGGCCCAATCAAAAGTCCGAGCACGTGGCCCATGCATTTGCAAGAAATCTTGCACCTCTGCAGCCGCAATATGGTTGGAATTGTTTTTTTTTTCTGTTCAATGAGTATTACTTTTTATAATACACCAATGACCTTGCAAGGACCGATATAAATAACACCCAGGCATTTCTGTATCTTCTCTGCCAACCCCTATTTTTGTTTTTTAAGAGAAATCCTGGAACTTGACCACAGTCCGGAAGTGTGGTTGTGAGGGCCCTACACTAAATTGATAAACATCGTGCACATAATGTTCAGACATTATCAAGGTGGTGGAAAAGTTACCCCCACCCCTGAAAAACAAGTACACGGCATCATAAAGCATCCGTTTTAATCATTTGTGCGAAACCATTCTGGGACACAGATTTCCACGATGAGTAAAACGTTTTATAGTTGCACTGTTCCTGGGTAATACGACTTTTGCGAATGATGTTTTTATAAAAGAGACCAGCCAGGAATCAATTATTGCAACGTAACAGTTTAAACGATGTAATGGCTCTTAATGGAAGCGTTACACGTGCAAGCAATTTAAAATATGCATTAACGTCGACAGTGAAATGTGTGCCATGATGCATTTAAACAATCTGCAAAGCAAAATAAATTCCATTTGTTGACAATGCTTTTTTTTCTATCTTATCACCATGTCTCTGTGTTCTTTTACACACAAACATTGCAATCGGTATGCGGCACCAGGAATGGAAACCCAGGATGCCGGTGGTTGCTGTCGTGCAGTAAACTAACCGCATGCAACCCACTCATCTCAATACACACACTTTACAGGCACTCCCGCACACATCGCTTTACGTAGCTAAATGTGTGCAGAGTGAATATACGCTCATGCTTCTCATCGTAAAAAGAGATGAACATTGTGAAATGCGTTTTTTATGACCACGGCCATTACGGAACACCTTAGGTTATTATTACCAACACTTTTTTTTTATACCCATTCTGTCCCAAGTGGGCCTACGACTGTTATGCAACATCCTAGCTCCTTATTATTATTTGTCATGCACAACGAAAGCAATAACAATTATAACGATACCGTCATTAAGATATTGTCATTCAATTATTTAGAATTAACTGAAATTTCCTACATATATTATTTTAATGTGTCAATGATTTTTTTTATATATATACACACAATGTCCGTTTTCATTGGTAAAATATTAACTGAATTTCAATGGCGTTTCAATACCCAGACAACAGGACTGAGTCCCCCGGTTTTACGAAGCATTTGCAAAGAGGTTCTCGTTTACACAATGAGAACAAGACTGCTTGAGTTCCTGTAAATATTATTAATAATAGTGGAGCATAGTATTATTACAAATACCTTCGTGTACTTTAGTCCCCACCATGTAAAAATAACTCAACAGTGAGGGGGAAAATTAAATAAAATGAAACATTGTACATTCCACTGTGTAGAGCATACATTGAAGCTTTCAATGCAATATTTCAACGTAAGCCGAGATTTTTCATTCTATCATGGATTTTTTTTTGGTATCTCATTAAACTCCAAATTAACCAAAAAATATATAAAACAAATTGCGGCACAGCATAACCATATCTGTCCATTTTGCTGAGAAGAGTAGGTGGCATGAAAGAAATCCACAGTTGACAAAATTTACTTTTACATATATACGTTAGTGCAATTTGAACAAATACATTTGGAATTAAAAATTCCACCCGTCGCTTTTATGCAATAAATGCAACACGGTAATTTTAATATTCGTAATTCCTGAATTAAAAAATTACTTTGGAAAAGTTAGCAACTCAATACCCTTGATTTAAACGCATTCCAATTGTAAAAAAATACTATATTTACGGGTTTGCGAGTTTGTGCAAATTTTCCTTTTTTTTAGCACTTTCCACAATAAAAAAACAAGAACAAAAATTAACACTAGGTAATTGTGAGCTAGTGTTCTACTGCTCAGGGCAAATACAGCATACATAGTCAGTATCATACATTTTTGAGGGGTATAGCCAAGTGGTAGAGTATTTGACTGCAGTATAATCACTTTCCCAAAATTAACCAGGCCCGGCTTGCAGTATCACACAATATTAATTAGCACAGTTCTCAAAACTCTCCAATTTTTTTCTGCACACGGTGACAAACTAAATTAAATCCATAACTCGTCCCTTATAAAGTCCATGGCCACGGCTCAATCGACCTGCATGTTAACTAATTTAAACAAGAATGTTATTTCATATTTTTTTCCAGGATTAATGTGTAAAAAGACAGGTTGCACCCAACTAAGTATACTGTAAATTAGACATCGTTTTGTCACGTCACTTTCATTGAAGTTGCTGCTACACGTATACAGAAGTCCATCGTACGACTATTTTGTAGGAGCTCACGCAAACAGGTAATAAAGACAACCTCAAATTGGCATTGAACAGCTTAATTCACATTCATTTTCATTCAATTTAAGTCCATCAAATTCACAGTTTTTTTGTCTTGAACAGGCTATGTTTTTTACCCCAGCAAAATGTACCAAATGAACATTAAACATTCGGAAAGACTCAAGTGCCGCAAACACAACAAGCCTCACAAAACACAAGCGAAAAACAACATCCAGGCGTGAGCGGGCAAGCATTCGGCTGACCTGTGGATGGAGAACACGTGCTCAGCAGGTTTGGGACTGGGAGACCCAGAGTGCCAGCCAGGCTCACGGAAGAAAACCTGGCCCGGTGGATGGGGAGAAGAGCCCGGGTGAAGCCACTGTGCAGCGCTGGGAGGCGGCAAGGGAGGCAGCGGCGTCGACATCATCGGCTGCGGCGCGTGCTGCTGCTGCTGCTGCTGCCGCTGGCCGTTCGCTTGCTGCTGATGATTGTGGGGATGGGCAAGGAATAGAAGCGAGTGAGGCGGTGTGCCCCCCAGCACTTGTATCCCAGTCAGAATGCCAGCTCCAGTCTCGCTAGCGCTCTTGCTTCTACTTGCTATGCCGTTACCACTGCTGCAGTTGTTACTGCCTGGGCCACTGCTGCTTGTACTGCAACTACCAAAGCTGCCATCGCCGCCGCCTCCACCTCCATTCACAAATCCCCCGTGGGGTCCAGTGAAGCAGACTGGTTGATCGGGAGAAGACAGCGGGCTTTTAATGCCACTTCGGCCTACACTGTTGTTGGCGCCCACCCCGCCAACAAACAGCGAAGGGTGCGGCTCGCCCCAGCTCCGGTAGATCTCCATGATGTATGACGACGAGTAGGGCATGCCAGCCAGTGTATAGCAGGAAGAAGGTAGGCCCCGGCCGACAATATCGTCAGCCTGCGATTTTATTTCCAGAGCCGATTCAGCAGACTCCTTGCTGACGGACATGGCAAGTCCCAACACAGGCAGCACCAGCGCTGGCACCACACCAACCCTCGCTTGCGTGCCGCAACTTTTTACGGCATCAGAAGACCGTTTCCGTGCCAAAGACTCGCGCACACTAGAAAAAAATATAAATTGGTGATTATGGAGTACACTCTTCACGTATCGCGCTGTCGCCCACCAATTCTAACATATGAACTACATATCATTCCCTCTTGCAGGACACCAATAAGCACTGTACACCGAAGACCCTTTTCCCCACTGGTGGAGAGGAGGAGAGACTGTAACACTGATATGCTCGCTGCCATGGAGTGTCAGAGCCAAGTAGGCTCAAAGCACCACCCACTCAACCAACCAGGGCCCTCGGTCCGCCTACACCCACAGTCGGGAGGGTCACATGGCGTCACAGAGACTTGGCGAGCTGCCACCCAGCGGGGGCCATGCTGTTCCCATAACTCATCTCGGCAAATGATTTATGCCCGCGTCCTTGCACACGCTCACTCATTTCCCCGGCTAACCCGCTTATTTATTTATTTTCTTGCTTTTTTGCCCACTGCTGTCAAGACTGCACTGCCTCTCACAAAGATGAGCAATATAATGTATTTCCCTGACTTTCTGGCCACGCTTATACGCTACGGACTACTTTGCCTTTAGTCCTACGTGTGCGCACCAGAAATGGTCGGCTCTCTCCAACACAAACACATGAGCATGCATACGCACGCGCACAAGTTCACATGCGCCAACACGCCTGCACCCAACACTGTGTATTGCGCCTCCATTCATTATGGGAGGATGATCATCAATGCTCCATTGTCTGTTTTTCCGAATAAATGTTTTATCTTTACACGCATTTTCTCCTATAAGTACCATTATTTTCCCCATTGTTCATGCGTAACATTTTTGTTTCTTTAAACAAATTGAAGAAATGTAATGAAACCCATATTTTTCACAATAAACTCACTAGAAACTTACCCGAGATCATATTTAGGAAAAAAAGTTTAACGGTTAACATTAATGTACTGAGGCATGTCACCATCATTATAATGATTGCAGGCCATGATCTATCCACTGCTGGATGAAGGCCTCCCAATGTCATCATCACAATGCCAAAATGCATCAGGCAACTGCATATGATCTGATCTCATCACTTTAACACCAGAGTGGTCACTTTCTTGGGCGTGTTCTCTCCTTTGGCTGCCACTGTGTCACCAATCTTGTCCATTAGTCATGATCCCCTCTATTGATGTACCCTGCTTAGGCCCACTTACTTTTTGACGTCAATAATTTGCATTTCATGTCTGATCAATCTTGTTCCTATTTTTGTCTCTGTATTTCCCAGCATGCATCTCTCGATTTATTTCTGTACTTTTCAGCTCTTGTTCCATTTTCTTCGTGTACATGTCCTGATTCAAATGTAATAGCAGGGATTATGCACCGATTGAAATGTTTCATATTCAAGGACATTGCTATGTTGGTTTTCGTAATCAAATTTATATTTTCGAAATGCACTTCAAACTATCTCTTACTTGCCTCTGGTCCATAATTTCAATCCTAGTCTGCCTTTAATAAATACCCTAGATTGGTGTTATTATTTGTGACCTTCCAGCAAGTATTATCTATTCAGCAAAATTACAGCCTTCTTTGGTAGGTTCGTCAATAATTTCCCGAGGTTCATTTACATTGATGATCAAAATGACTATTTGGTCAGAAAATCTGGTTAGTTCAATTGTGAGAATAGGTTGTCCCCTTTTTTTGGCAACAAAACCGGTGTGAAGATATTCTTGGTTCTTTCGGTAAAGTCACGTATAAGGGAAACAATAAAATAATAAAAATATAACACAATAAAATTATCACGACGTTTCGACTGCAACACAGGCAATCATTATCAGTTGTGAAAACCACAGCAAGAAAATTTGAAAAAGTGGCGGTTATTTTTAACGTCAGCACCACGGAGAGCGATTTGACAGTTTGTTCAGATGGACGAGTCCATCTATGTTCGGAAAAGAGGGGGGAGACGAAAATAATGGATGCGGTCTGAAAGCCACCGTAAGCGTGAACAATCAATTAAGACCCGAAATGGTTTATCAAATCCTTCCAATGATTGCTAAGCCATAATCCATCTTCTCGGTTGAAGTTGTCTCTGTGTTTGTATATGTGGATAGCCTCATGAACGAATCTCTCATGGTAGCCGGATGGCTTGCAAAGAACCTCTGTCTTGGAGAAGTCAATGTCATGTGAGCCTACTGAATTATAACAGTGATCTGCCACGGCCGAGGTGTTGGTCCTACCGTGTTTTGGGTCTGCTTTGTGTTCACGAATGCGGTCCGAGACATGCCGTTTGGTTTCTCCAAACTTAAACCTTTTACAAGGAATCATGTTTGCATTAACCACAATACTTGTGATCAGAATGCAAACAAAAAACATACTCTGATAATATATGCATTCTTTTAAACTGATTGGTCCACACCAGAGACAGCTTTCTTTGGAGCCTCGTCTCAAAAGGTGTTAGACCCTAGATGCCAAAAGGCTGTACGCCTGTGTAGAGTAGAATGGGGAAGTGGCGTCACGGGGGCTGTCCAGTGCGATGACGTCACGGGACGTCACGGGACGTGACGTCATGCGCTCGGGGCAGCAGAATGACGTTACGACTCCTCAAGTATAAAGGGGGGACCCCGTGACGTCAGCGTGGTCGTAGCTGGAGAGTAGGGTCTGAGAATGGTGGAACGGGGAGCCAGGGGCAAGAGGGTAGGGATAGGGGAGAGAGCACAGTGCCAGGCTAGACGTGGCTGTGCTCCTCGGTCGGCCGTGTTGGCTGATCCCACGGCCGGCGCAGAGGAGACCGCACAAGGCAGCCGGCTGTGTCGGGACCCAGCCCGGGACCCCTAATCCCCTGGGCAGTTGTCCACCCCCGTGTACTGTTAAGATTTGTAATAAACCTAAGGCGAAAGCCCCTTAACTTACCTCAGCTTCCGAGCGAGTCGTCGGGAACTTCTCAACACCTGTACCGATGCAGTTATTTCAAGTTGTCACAGTGTCCTTAATAAATGAAAACATATTTATACAGAAATTACCAAAACCGTTAAAAGAGACAGCATGTCATCACAACACATAAAACGTTCATTAAAAACAATTCCAGGCATGAACCGAGTGAACTCTCTTGTTGGGTTTTGTAAACAAGATGTGGCTAGAATTGTGCTTTCAATACAATTCAAAATTCAGGCCGCAACTATCCAAAACGTGTTCCAAAAAACCCCGAAAAGGAATTTGTTTGCAATCTGGAAAAATTCAACTAAACTTCGGATATGGGTTCCTGATTAAACACGTAAAAAACTCTAAACATAAGTACAAAGAGAAAAGCTTCTGTTGCAATATTCCATGTGTTGTGATTGGAGCTACCATTCCCCAGTATAATTTTGTGACATGTATGTAGGGGGGTGGTGTGGAGAGGTAAATCTACACAAATGTTCGTTTCTACATTTGGTAACATTTTAAAGGTTACGTCATGACATAGTGCAACACAAGCATTACGTGTAATTATTTCAAGTTATTCCGTGATTGCTTTAAGAATGTCACGCTCAATTTTTTTCCTGAAAATATAGTGCTGCTAGGGTAACTCCTTACAGCCGTGCCAATGAACGCAAACAATTTTGACAGAGAAAAAAAATGTTACGAGTTAGCGCTGCTGAGGTTGTATAATCCCAAGCTGAAGGATTTAAAAATGGCTGGCTACGATGGCTGGACATGGCGACTGTACGCACACAAAATTAGCAACTGGGACGGTGGCAAAGCACAACATCTCTCTCTCTATAATCTTAACAAAGTCCATCACTTGAGGTTGCCCAGTTACGGAGCACACAAGCGTGCTAGCAATCAGCATAAAGTGCTCTCAATAAAACTAGCATTAATAAATTAATCACGCCTGTGTTTTCCCACAGTTTATCAGCGTCAACAATTCTGGATTCTTACTTTACTTGTGGATATATAATATCCAGAATAGCTTTTTAGGTAACTATACTCTATAAACGCTGTGGACATTTGGTTTATCGTGGTATTCATGTTAATAGTTTTCTTAACTGACAAGTATATGCATTCAATTATTTTTTTAACAAACCTATGGACTACATTTTATACACATGCACATTAGAGGTGTAAAATGTATGCATTTCTCAATTCATATTGATCAATAAGTCTCAGATACGGAATATGCATCAAATATTGTACGTTAAGATTTAGCGGTGCATCAAATGTTAACTTTTTCTTCAAATTATCTTTAAATAGTGTCAATTTTGACCAAATAGTAACAATAAAAAATGTAAAGCCAATAATTGTAAGCGCTAATGACCACTGTTAGTCATGTGACCACCACGTCTCACAGTGGAGGCAGGAGAGTCGAGGGGGCAGACAGAAAGACACAGAAAGAAGAGACAAATGAATGAGGGAGAATGACGGAGATGAAGCAAGAGACAGCAAGACAAATACGAACGAGACACAGAGACAAACATATAGTTAGACAGAGGAAGCCTGGAAAAGAGACAGGGTCAGAGAGAGAAAAGGGGAGACAAGAGACAGAAGCAGAGACAGGGGGGGACAGAGAGACGAAGACGTTTTAAAATGAACTTTCAATGTAGCCGAACACCTAACGTACTTTTTTTTTCCCAAATAGTAAAGAGTGCTTTTAGGTATTTGTATTATTAGTATATGATGTATGACAATTATTGTTCATTTAAATAAAATTGTGACGCCTAAATTGCATCCGTAATAGACAGTCATAATAGAAAAAACACTTATCAATTAAAAGGAAATGCTTAAAATGTTTAGTTAAGTCAGTGGAACTAATAGATTTAGGGAATTAAGGGGCTGGGATTGCCCAGATCATTTAAAAGGTGCAGGAGCAATAGTAGCAACAAGTATGTGTGGGCAGAGCATCAGTCACACCTTACGTGGTACAGAACATTCATTGTTAAAACCTGACCCTATCAACCTAGTGATGTTCGGTCTATCTCAGTCTGCCTCAGTAGGATGCCTGATTATTTTGGCTATCCTTTGTTCCGTGGCATTGAACAGCTGTGATGATTCTTAAAGAGGTGACCAGAGCTGTCCTCTGTCATATTGTCTGCAGCTATTTTACTTAAATCGCCGCTCAGCTTAATAACCGAAGCCATTGACACGTGCACCACAATTATTCGTAGGGATGCAGTATTGTCCATCCGTGCACATTTGCTAGTGTAATCAAGGTGACAAAAAACACGTTGTGCTCAAACACCAACACAATAGACTTTACCCCTTATCTGATGCTTGTTGCAACATCAAGAAACACATGACAAACCCTAAAACACTATATACACTCCCCCTGTCAGACAGCAATGAAATGGTTTGAAACAATTATGGACTGGGAAAAAACATATTCTGGTGCTCAAAAAGCATGGATTGGGACGAGGGAATGCTAGAGATGCCCCTTCTGGAGAGTTTTTGGACTACTGTTCCATGCTGGCCACATGTCTTGGAACAGGTAATAATACCCACACTGTAACCTACCACACGTGACCTGCCAATTTACTGTGGTGTAAACGTTTATACTACTGGGAGAACAGAGGCGAAGAGATTTGATAAACTTTCCCCATTTCTTTCAACTGCCAGGCTGGGGAGATCCAACATTAGTACATAACAAGACACTGCAGACTTGTGGACTTCACTCACTCCAGCCGTAAGACCTAGCGCACAGCTCCTCCAGAACAGACACCTCAAAACCAACAGCCCAGACCACCAAAAACCACAGAAATTGCTGTGATTTCCCACATGAATGTCATGTTTTAAGACACCAATCGACAAGCTCACCCTAAAAAATTCAACATCACCTTGAGTCAACAACAGATCTAACCACTGATGGTGGAAGTGACCCTCAGGGGTCACAAGGTTCAAACAAGGCACCGAGATATGATGGCCTGTGTCCTAAGTCCCTAAAGAGCCCGGGAGTATATATGTAAAGACAGTACGGGGCCTAGTGGCCATAAATATTGATTGTATAGTGATATCGGGGATGTCACTGTATGGTGCCGGCCCAGAAGGGCCGTGCCGTTCGATGTTCCTACATCGTGGACAGCACCGTGTGGGTGGCTGTGTGTAGCACCAGCCCTAGCGTGTACAGCACCGTGTGGGTGGCTGTGTGTGGTACCAGCCCTAGCGTGTACAGCACCGTGTGGGTGGCTGTGTGTGACACCAGCCCTAGCATGGACAGCACCGTGTGGGTGGCTGTGTGTAGTACCAGCCCTAGCGGGTCTTGGTGAGCACTGGGATATTGCGGGCACCACGCACAGCGTGTGGTGGGGGCTCCCACGAGGGGGAGTGGGTGAGCGTCAGCCCAGGGGCAGGGTTGCCCCGGGCCATGGCACTCTAGTTGACCCCGTAGACACGTGATCCGGAGAGTCCAGACAAGGGGCCCCAGGTGGGGGAGCTAGTGGGTGGTCACGTGTCCGGGGGGGAGCTCTTGAGAAGGATCGAGAGAGAACGAGAATGTTCTGGAAGGTGGGCGGGGCCGAGGGCGGGGCCGAGGGCGGGGCCGAGGACGGAGCGGCCCCGACCGTAGGGGGATATAAGGCGGGTCCCTGAGAGGGACCGGGGTCGCTGCATTCTACAAGCTGGAAGCTCAACACCTACAAGCTGGAAAATCAACACCTACAAGCGGGAAGCTCTATGTCTCAAGCTGAAACTCTTCGTCCTACGAGGCAACCACGCGGTCGGATACCCGAGTGAGGTTCCGACCCTTCGTAGCAGTAACTCCTCTGTATAGAGTAGTTAGCTGGGTGGTCACCATTCTAGGCTGTATCTGGTGAAGAGGCAGTTACCCCTTGTGTTACGTTTTTCAAATAATTGTGTTGCCTCTAAAAGGAACAACGTCTGCGACTCAGTTAGACTCACTACAAATGCAGCAATGAGGACAGGCAGGGTCAAGTGAGGTAACTGAGTAAGGAGTCAACGCGGGGGTAGAGATGGAACCCCCGGGGTGTTATAATGAGGCAAAGGAGAGAGTTCTGGAAAAGGGGAGTGGCAGAGCCGAGGGGAAATAAAAGGCAGTGCGGAGTGGGGCTCGGGGCTGCTGTGGGGATTCGGGGTCCGGACTGTCGTCGCTGTCATCACGGTGGATCGTCCTCATCGTCTTGGAAGGCTGGGAAAGAAGTTATACATCTTCGCCGTGGCTACTACATTGACGACTCCTATATAGTCAGTCAGTCAGCTATATAGTGAACGTCGTGTAGCAGCTACATAGAGTCACCAGTTGTATATAGTCAACCTACGTCCACCTGATGTCACCAAGTCGGGTGGACTGTAATATATAAATATATATAACTTAAGCAAGACAGCGTCTCTGAGTGCTACATTACATATGGAACAATGGCTAACACATATCTTTATCATTATACACGGGACAAGCAATATACCAAAAATGGGAGCAAGCCGAAGTCATCGTCGCTCTGATACCCAGGAAGCCACAAGACTGCAGCTACAGGCCAATTTTTTTTTATCATGTCCTCCACCTCCAAGTTGATGGAACATACCAAGCTTACCAGAATTTCCCCAATGATTGAACCCCAACTGTCTCCTAAACTAGCCAGAGTATGCTGTGAACAGATCATTACCTTCACCATTCTCGTAAAATGTTTATTAGCTTCAACAGAAAACTGGCACAGCAATTATTGACCTCTCTGCTGCCTATAACACACTGTTTGGAATCATGGCCTTCTGCTGAAATTGGGCAACATGCCCTTCTACTGTACACCTCATCAACATGGTGCTCAGCAACCGTACTTTCAGGCCACAACTCGCTGATAAACACAATCGCAACGGAATGATGAACATTGGCATATCTCAAGGCTTGGTTACCAGCACCTATTTAACATACTGTACATACAAGTGGCCTGCCATGTACATCACCTCACAAGTGCATATATGCAGATGATATAGCCCTTGCTGCAAAGGGCACATACCTCGATAAATTGCCAATACTCTGTACGCTGATCTAATTTTATTGAAGGCATATTTCCCTCACTGGAGACACCGACCAAATTTCTTCCAAAACCACCATAAGTGCTGGCTACCTGAACAGTCATGCAGCGGATGCCACCACTGATGTGTCATTCTCTGGTAACCCAGTGCACTATGACCAGACTCCAAGATATCGGGGGTTATCATGAACAGAAGCCTGACTTTTAAAAGCCCCACATAAAACAGATCTGTGAAAAGACCAAATAAAAAATCGCCCTGCTACAGAAACGTTCAGGAACGACCTAGGGAACCTCAGCTTATGTCTTGCGAACTGCTACCCGGATCACTGATCTACTCAGTATTATGCTCCAGCCTGGTTCAGGAGCTTGTAGAGAAAACTGCTCAATGCACAATTAAGCCGGAACACGGAAACTGACGCCAATCCCATGGCTCCCCATTCTGGTGAACATTCTGCCACCAAATATCCAGAGACATGCAAATTGTAAGGGAGTTTACACGTTTTCCCATCCACCAAGACCTCAACAATGTACCTCCCCCACTGACTCAAATCCCCAATCCCCCCTTCTAGGATCACGCTGTCACCATCCTAGAATCTCACCCAGATCTGAAAGAACGCTGGCGAAAAGAGTGGAACAACGTGGACACCCAGAATAAACACCTTGATTGAGACACAACCATCACACCTCCTGGCTTTGACATGCCTCAGAGACACTGGTGTAACTATCAACCGCATCAGAACGTCAACAAGTCAATACACACATCTCCTTTACAGATGGAAAATAAAAAAATAAGTCACAGTGCACTCGTGGCCATGCAGCCTAAACTACTGAACATAGTAAACCATTGTAGTCTGCACTCTCTTTCAATGGAGGAAGAGCAAAGCCACACAAACCATCCCCTAAAGCCCTCTCATGGCTAGAAGACCTTGACATTGGCATTTAGCTCCTGAACATATTGCCATGCGCAAGAAAAAATCTAGTACAAAACATTAGTCAATACATAACATCATGAGCCAATACTATAATACTGTGAAGGTGAATTAGCTGTTATGAAAATCAACCAAAAAGGAAAGGAAAGCCTTCACAAACAAGAACAAAATTATTTAATCTTGATTCCAAGCACACTTTATCCCCATCCTATAAAACTGGCACCAAAGTCACGGCTGGCCTCAAAGGTTGGCATTCCACAAGTTTAATAATGGCAACTGCTATCCACACTTTTACTTTTTTTACATATTGACATGTTAATTTTTATATTTCTGTTTTCCACTTTTAAAATACGAGATGAATTATTGCACATATAGAAGTCAAAACTATATTACTTTAGTTGTAATACAATGTACTTTGATAATTTACTTCACACTGTGAACCAATCCAACACCTTTGGAAACCGTTGTCTCCAGCTCAGTCTTTTTGTTTGTTGGGAAAGAAAATGACAGACCCCAATTCCTTACAAGATGAGATGCAGTAATGACCAAATTTAATTTAAAAAAAACGATGGCAAAACTAGATTTTTGTCTTGGTGTGTCTCGCTCGGTGTGTCTTTGTGTGTGTCTCTCTGCATGTGTGTCTATGTTGTCTCCGTATCTGTGTTTTGTCTCTCTCTCAAATTTAGCAATCTTTGGAAGAACGTAATCAACCAGGTGCGGTGTTGACTGTTGCGTTAGCCGAATCTGTGTTGTATTGCATTATATTTCTAAGTTTACTGTTTGTTTTTTCTCATTCTTACCTGATGATGGTTGCTTGTGTTGCAATCGAAACGTCGTATTCTATTATTATTATTAGATTTTATTCTCTACGTGACTTTACCGAAAGAACCAAAGAGTAAACGATTGCATTATAAAAGTAATTCAAAAATGTATTACAATCAGATAATGAATAAATTGAATTGTGTTTTACTTTGAGCGGTTTGAGAACGTTAGCTGAGCAAATATGGCATACTATTGAATCCTAAAATTCTATGTTGGATTGCCAAAGACCAAGAATCACACACCTCCATAATTAATGTTAACTGGTCTCTGAAAGAAACACTTGCCACGATTTCACCTCGGGAGCTCTCACTTCACTTAGTCCAGCTGTTCTTCAATTCAGTTTTCTCAGTTCATTTTTCAGTCCCGACGAATTTTAATTAATCGGCCAGAGTCCAAGTGCTGTACAGTATGTAGCAAGTCAAATCCAGGAGGTGTCTTTATTCATACCCAGTGATTCTTAGCACTCTCTGCATTGTCATCTAATCACATCAGTGCTCTGGTTGGTGAAACTAGAACTGCTGAGGACCGGAGGGTGATGGTTAATACTTTGTCACAGAAATTACGGTGTTTTTTTTGGACGCATATTGAACACATTGGTCAGTGCGAGTTGCTAAAGCTCAAGTTGACAAAACCCAGATTTTAGTATACAGTACTATTAAAGCCTGTTCTTCTTTTTCATAATTTTGATACTGGCAAAAAGGGTCCCAAAGATAGCAATATTATTATTACTACGCATGTTTACTTACCCAGAAAAGCCGCGCCAAGTTCCAAGCTCTTTTTTTTATTCAGGATGGTTCTGCATATGTTTTCACATATGTGGAATCTCAATTGCATAATTTGCAAGTAATATTTCATTCAGCATTGGGATGTTTGCTCATTACCACATATGTGGAATCTCAATTGCATAATGTACAAGTAATATTTCTTCAGCATTGGGATGTTTGCTCATTACCATTTACATGGTATATTTTTTTTATCCAGATAACTTCAGTATTAGATGTGTTAAGATAAATTGTGAAAGTGTTAACTATCTCAAGATTTGCTGATGACTCGTAGGTAATAGGACATACTAATTGGAATGAAATAAAACCAAATTTCGATTTAAAGCTTTCGTGACTGCAGGGATTCATAATCTTGGTTCTTTCGGTAAAGTCACGTAGAAGGGAAATAATACAATAATTAAAAACCAATTATTGCAGACAATATAGAAAAGTTTGCAAAGTGGACCAAAAGATTAGACCAACCCGAGTCCAACAAAAGATGATGAAATACGGCGAGGACAGATGCCACTCCAGCATAAGTGCAAATACAACACAGATGAAACCAAAATACAAAAAGGTACAAAGGAGACATTAGAGTCAGCAGACATTAAGGTTGGACTCATCTTTCAATGGAGACAATGCAGCAGGAGGCAGTACTCTAGG